TCTGGGTTTATGCTTGTTTTGTAATACTTGTAGCATGACAGTGAMATCACTGAAATAAGAAATGCAAACATTCTAGTGGAGTTTGATAATAGTTCATTTTAACAAACTGGGGATCTGGGGAAGCACAGGGATCCTGATGTAAAAACAGCATTAATCAAGCTGACTGATATGGATACCCATCTCTTTCATTAATAAGCACAAATTGTTATAAGTTGAGTTTGGTTGGTCCACCAGGGCCTGGGCCTTTATGTGTGTATTAGAACAATCAATTGTATTTAGCAATCAGTTTTATTTGACTTTAGTATTACCATGCAAGTGGACTATAGGAAATCCTTCGTTCTGATTGGCTATGCTACTCGGGGTCTATTTTCAATAGTCCTCAACAAGCAAAAAGCAACAATTTTTTGCATGATTTTAGCAACAAAAAAAAAACATTTATTTTTTTGTATATTTTATTCATTTTTTATCCAACTAATACGGTTATACTTTAAAACAATTAGATCACTCGGCCTCATTATCAGTTTGTAGTTTACTCACCCGAGTCAAGATCTAATTATTAAATAATAGTGCTTGAAATTAATTTTGAAAACAATGTAATATTTTAAGCATTAAAGCCACATCCCTTTGTTAAAGGCCCACTTGCTTACAAGAATCTCAGCGATTATTTTTGTTGTTTTGTTCAAAGATGAATGCGGATTTGTGCAAAGTTCAACATGTACCTGAATGAAGACACAAGACAGACACCAGAAACAACAGAATAGCACTTTTTTTATCCATCCTTACTCCTAAAATAAAATAGTTCATGAATATAACTAGGCCAAAGTTAAAAGAAAAACAACTCTGGGACCAGACTAACACTTGTCKTTGGTTGTGTTGATACCAAGGAGGAAGAGGTGTGCCTTTCAAAATGATGCACCCGGTGATGCACGCAATCAATTTTGAAAAAGACTAAATTTCATTATCTAAAACGCACATTAGACAAAGAAATGTATAACGAAAGAACAAAATGTAAACGAATGACAAATATTGATTGGAAGTTGACGTGATAGCTGTGTATAAATTAAACACTCGGAAACACCCATGATCTGAATAAAGGTTTGGTTTTGTGGGCAACTTAAAACAAATGGCAGGGATTATACACTCATTTTAAAAATAGTGGGAGCTTTGCACTTCCGTTTCTAGATGCAAACAAAAATCACAAAARTATACCTAAATTATACATCATCACGATTTATCAAAGCTATATTTTGTTGGATCAAAGTCAACAATTCTCAGGACTACAAGCAGATAGCAAGAAATGTTGATTTCCGCTTTTGCCTGTCGTATTCATCTCAAATTTCGTCTCGAGGCGTAGAGAGAATGCAAAAATTACTTCGATAACATCTTAATAGAGTAAATATCTTTGAAGGATATTAAGAAAGAGAAATCTTACCTAAAATAACAAGAACTTYACTGATTTTCGGCAGCAGCTTCGAAGCAAAACTTTGTCCTCTTTCTTCAATACTGTCACATGACCTGTATAAGCCAATGACGAATCATCTCTAAAAATACATTGCGTGACTACGTATGTGACACATTCACGGTCACGCTATTTGTTTTCTTAAAATGATTTACTCATAAGTTCCCAAGGATCGCGTCTTTGCTGTTCCTATTAAAAAGGTTATTCAATGTAGGGTCAGAAAACTTGTTTTCTTTCAGGGGAGGATCAAAAGGGAAATTTTAAGAATTTCCGTTTTTTTACTGGCATCTTTTCATAAATTGCTTTTTATTGATCTATTCATATTTTTTTCAATTATTTTCCCCCACAATAAAGTAATTTGATACTCTCAAATGCAGCACATACCTACCAATCAAAGTTGAAATCTGACAAAGTTGGTCCTTGCCTGCCCCAAGACACATCCCAATGCTGATTGGCTATTAAGCATGGCCATTAGAGGTGTCAGAATCGCACACATTTGAATCCGCAAGATACTTTACATCACGCAAGTATGTTATATATCAGCAAACTCAGACAGACTGCTGTGATTCAGTGAGAAATCTTAAACTTTAAAGGTTAGTTTTTAAATTGTCCGCACTTTCAATGTGGTTGATTTTGTTTCAATTAAGTGAATGTACAGCRCAAATTCCAGTCGATAGCTATGAAATAAGAATTTCTCTCTTGCGCATTGGCTTTTTAATAGAGAAATACTTCTAAAAGTGAAAACTCGTTAAGTATGTCCGTCGAAAAAAATTTCTGTTAGAGTTGCTCAGTTGGTAAAAAAAGAAACAACTTCAGTACCTCTTCAAGGACAAGAAACTTTTCTCAACTACTGCGCGACTCTAGGGTGAACTATGCCAGAACCGAGACTAGAATTATCTAATGCTTTATCTAAATAGCTTTTCTTTTCACACTTATAGGTAAAGTTAAGCTTTAAAAAGCTGCAAGAAGTAAAGTTTTGCCTTCGCAGCAATGATTCTTCCTCAACGACAAAAAAATCTTGGTGTGCATTCCACTTTCTTCGGTCTGTTGCTGTTTGTTGTTGCAAATCTCAACGAAGTCAACCTTTCCGAAGGTAAAATGCTTGGAAAAGCAGTATATATCATACGTATATATCATACAATCAGGCAATTTAAAATTCATTGTGGCGTTGAAAGTTTAAAGTCAGCTAAAAAAYAGTAGTTGTCATGTTCAACATTAAAATATGTCAAAAGTTCTTCTGAATGACTTGAGCTTCTAATAAGCGCGCAGTTTAGTTTTATATCAATGCCAAAAAAATTATATTAAGCCGATAAGACCTACAAGTTTATCTAATTAAGGGAATTATAAAGTATTTTAGTTGCCTCAGAAGCTGCAGTTGTGGTTGGTTCTTGAGGAATTCACTTAACAAAGTCATGTTGACTCACAGTGCTTGCTCAAATACAAAATAAACAGCAACTTATGAAAAACTAACAAAGTAGAATGGCCTTTCGCTTTCGAAGRCTTCTTTTTGGCAGGAGTCTTCATTGCCAAGAATGAGTCTAGTTCCGTCGAAAGAACTTAGAACTAGAACTTAGGTAGATTGACACCATTGTATGTAAGTGTCTAGAAAATCGAGTGGCTATGTATGTAGTTGGTTATGTATCCTCAGCTATAGTTTATTTATACCAAATATATCTAATTGTGGCTCGGGTAGACAATGCTTTCTTTTATGACWTTTTATTGAAAGCCAAACAGTACCGTAGAAAGTTTTTTTTTCTCTCAATAGACTTGCTAAGGAAACAGTTGACAGTTGGAAATGTAAACCCACGTACTCAGTGATATGTCTGCAGAAGTAACTGATCGTATATATACACTGAAGGGTTTGCTCTGGAAAAAATCGCGCACTTTAAAGGTTGTAAATTTGATGCAAATATTATGTAAATTTGATGTAAATCATTTACATTTACATCATTTTGGCACTTGCATAACATTTACATCAAATTTACAGCCTTTTGAAGTGCACGATTTTTTCTAGTGTTTGTGTGCATCTATATCTAGATGTTCTAGCAGTTAGCCTACCCCACCCTATCAAGTACCCCGTGGCTTGTGTTCAGAGTTTTCATTAACTCAGTCAACCTTTTGTTCAGTTATCCTGTATTAATTCAATCATTAATAATCGTTTCATTCAGTCAGTCATCATTTTTTTCGGTGCATCGTTTAATTTCATCCAAGGCATTTATTCACTCATCCATTGACTTTCATCAATTCATCTTTTTTAGGATGTCAGCCAAAGAGAAGATATACCGTTCACCTAGTGAACGAAACAGACACACCAGCCGATACCGCAAAGCTAAATAGCTCCATAATAAATGCACTCGAGGAARCATTACCTGGGGGACTTTGTTCTCCTACCATCAAGATCTTCAACCAATCAGACCAACCTAAAGGCTTAACAATTGCTGAACTAGAGCTATCAGTGAGTAAGAACGATAGCTTTGAAACCTTTGAGGACCTTTTACTCAAGGGTATGAACTACACCTTAGAAAACAGGACCCTAACCATGATGCCTTACTCTCGAGTCTTTGTAGCAAGATTCAACATWACCAATCCAGACGACGCCAACGACACTTATATAGAACAAGCGATTACAGAAGGCCTTAAAGARGAAACTGTAATTGTTACATTCATTACGGATGGTTCAGAATTGAAGACCTTTCGACTTTGGTTAAATAGGAGTGGTTCTTTCTATCCAGTAGAAGCTTTAAAAATTCTTATTGATGCRATAGAGAATAGCACGTTGAATAGTSTGGTGGTCTCGAAAGACTCCTTCAAAGCCTATATGRTATACCCTCTCATTAAGACCAGGGATTTTCGAGTCGAATTTGATTATTCAATGATGGAGTGCGATCAGTCTTCTATGTCCAATACAAACTCTCARGAATACMGKTCAACAAAGGAGGACGTTGAAAAGATCTTGAACGAAAAATACAAAGTTCTGCAAAATCTTTCTAGTGTTRCAGTCACTGATATTAAATGCAAATCGTCCGTCGTTCGAGATTCTTCTACTTTTGCGCGCATAACAGCCGTACTCAAGTTGCACAGATCATCCAAAAAGACGCCAAATGAGATAGGTGAAGCTTTACAAAGCTGCCCAACATCAAACACTAACGTTTCCAACGTACAAGTCACTCTACTGACTCCTCAGTCATTTGAAGATGTTACAGAAGCAAAAATCATATGTCCCTCGACAACTACATTGAAGCCTACCACCCTTAAAACGCAGAGTGACACTACCCTACMYCCCAGTGAACCCAGTACTTCACCTCCATCCATGGGAAAAACTCCGCGTGCTTTTGTAAGACTTCGGTTGGCTATCACATGGAGTCAGTTTTGTACAAAGCTTGAAGATTCCTTAAARCAGAATATTGCCAAGAACGTCTATGACAAAAAGGGAAACGTCGTCTCCCCTGATAGGGTTATGTTTATTAACAGTCGTAAAAACTGCGCCGATCCTCTAAAGGAGAATGAATTGGTGGATTTGTGGTTTTACATTGCGGAGAGATCAGGGACGGACAGACCGTCTACGTGCGTGACACTMAAGGCTCAACGGGTGCTAAGGATGATGGTTAACAATGGTAATACAAAGATGTTAGGAACTGACTTTGCTGGAAAGGTAAACAAGTGTTTATTGGATACGTACAGTCATTTAAACCAGCCTACGCTGAATTGGGTGGCCTGGTAAAATATTGCTTATAAATAAATAAATAAATAAATAAATAAATCCCATGTTCAATTGTCAAAGATGTAAAGAAAACAAAAAATTCATTTGCATAGAATGTTTTTTCATCCCAGCGAAGAATTTCCATTTAAAACTCCAGATCATGCTCGCAAGTTAAATGTTATTGACATTGTCATAAAGTTATCGATCTTGAGGCTGAATAATCTTGCAAAAAATATAGAAACATAATAGATGCAAATGACTTTGTTGTTGTGTTTACATCGTTTACAACTCTATAACGTTAAAGGATTGAGCGCATAATACTTTTTATCACACCCGAGTGCGAGTTCTAAATTCTAGAGTGTATTTTAACTGAGGGCATAGCTGTATGCGCTGTGCTGACACCAAACACTTCAATCACTAATATGATTTGACTTTTTTTAGGTCATCAGTGCTAGCCTCGCCGGGTGTGATGCCCAAAAAATAGACAAAAAGGAAGAAGATGTGAACTGGACGGTGCTCATAATCATTGCTGTCATAGTTGGAGCATTGCTTCTGATTCTGGCTTGTTGCTGTGTAAGTGTCAATCATCACGTGTGATCTAGTCGGTACTACAGCGCCTGAAAAATGGGCATTGGTGATGATTTTGCGCACGCCCACACTGTCAAGGTTACTAATCATGGCGATCGCGCATGGGAATCKTRWTCGCGGTGATTTTAATACAAAGATTATTTTAAAGAATGACCTTATTCTTACTAAAGTTGTTCCATGTTCACTATTATGCTTTTGATACCGAAGTTTTATCTCAAACTTAAAAATGCCWGATCAAATTTTGTAGATTTGCTGTGGAGCTGCAAGACGTCGAAGACGCAGACGATACGAAGACAAACAAATGGAGTTAGTCATTGTTGATGGCGCGCACGTCCAAGCAAACGGGGAAGAAACTGGAGTGAGCAGTTTGGGAGGGAAGGACAGTGAGCAAGGCAAAAAAGGAGGTAAACGAGATGGTAAAGGAGCAAGACATGGACATAGGGGAGGTAAAGATAGCTTTATATATAGTCTTTCATAGTTTTAGTACTTGCTTTCATTGCTATGCCATCTCTTTTACTATATTGTAAGTGCTGTTGTATTGTCATTGCAAATGTCAGTGTCACTTCCATCGCCATTGCCATTGCACTTAGCCCGTGAAAATATAACAAGATTGTTTTTCATAAAACCGYGAAACARAGAAACATATCCAAAGTGTGATAAKTTGTGATAAACGGACGAGAAGAAAAAGAAAAACGTGCAAAATAAATCTGAAGCGTATAGCCTTAAAGTGCTTTTCACAGCTTTATTGCAGTTTTCATTAACTATAAGTTAGAGTCTAAAAYTGCAGTTGAAAACAAAGACAATCATTCAAACATGTAACATGTGCTAGCTATTTCACGAGTTAGTTTTTACTCAATTACTATTGCGATTGTCATTGGTGAATCTGATGTCACTGACATTATTTGCCATTGCCAACATCATTAGCCGTGGTCTGATTGCCTGAGTTATTACTATCACCAGGTAGAACCGCAGGGATGTATGGCGGCATTAGTGATACTGACAGTGATGACTACTACGATTGCTGCGGTGTTGGTATTGCTGGCGCTCACGGAGGTAAAAAAACAAGAGACAACAAAGRGAAGAAAAAGGAAAAGAATAAAGAAATGGATGGAAAGAAAACGGATGCTAATAAAGACGATGCAAGCAACGGCGAGAATAAGGGAAATAATAACGACAACGATGCRAAGAATACTGAGGGGACTTCCAACGAAGGCTATGAAGATCTGAGACTTGATAAAGTGAGTGCAAACAGGCATCCACCGAGATTTTTATGAACGCGGGACATTTTTTTACTGGCAACAATGATACTTAATTTATAACATTTAGTTAAATAACTATAAYTATAGAACATATTGCTACATTGAATTGAGACAAGAATACTTCATTACCATTTCGACAATACAGAATGTCTATGACACGAATGTGCCGTGAATTTTGCACGCTGATCACATATGCTCTAATGGAAATCATATAACAGAATAGGAGTCGTGACTATCTATAGATTTTTAWCAAAGAGAACAAGGATCGATATTATATCACCTTAGAGTATGTACTCGAGTTTCTACATATAATTAAAGGGACACTGTCAATGGCACGCATGCGCGAGTAAACATGAAAACACTAGGCTAGTGTTTTCAAGTTTATGACTCCAAGTTGGCGCGACATAAATCAGCTCGTAAACGTAAACGGATCTAGAATATTCCAAAGTGTGTCAAAAGCACCACAAAATGATTTACCTCGAAGGTAATACTTTCAAAGTCCGTTAGAGGTGAGACTGTTACTGCGCATGTCATCCATTGACAGTGTCCCTTTAATACTGCTTCTCTTGTGAGCTATGAGGCTCGTTCTCAGGTCTCTACTCCCTAACGGCCTTAGAGGTTAGAGACCTGGTAATGAGACTCATAACGACTGCGAGAGGAGACTACGGATTCCAGTGTCATCGATGTTTATATCAGAGGACAGAGACACACGCAGTCATTTTATGATTCTTACCTGTAGTCGCATATTGCATAATGCACAGGATGGCCAAGAAAAAAGCACCCCACAAAGCTACCAAAACCTATCCTACGGACTCGGTGATCGCAAGCCAAGCAATGGAAGTCAATACGCTACGATTGCAGATAAGCGACCAAGTCAAGACGGAGGTCATCAGTATGTGAACATAAGGGATGGTAGTAAAGAACAAAGTCAGCAAGGAAGTCCCGMCATCTCAGTTGCTGCTGCGGGATCACTCGCGGGATCGATGGGTGATGTGAGTTGATTCTTTATAAGGAATTATCAAATTCATTAATAATTCATAAGGTAAACACAATGGAAAATCATTGCAGTGACCGCATCTTGATATGAGCAAGAGATTTATCCTGATTTGCATGCGACTTTAACTTCGATTTTCTCTTGCAAATGATATTTTATCCTGAAGTTTTTTTCGAAATATGCTTTACCTTATGTTGGGATTTGATAAACAATATAAAATATTCGCGTCCGACCTTTATGGGCTATAAAACTGCTCGCTTGCAGCTCGCAGTTTTAACTGATTGCCCAGAAAGGTCTCCCGCTCATATTTCATATATTACAAAAATATCGCTCGCTACGTTTCACGAATCTACTATAGTCAATCCATTAACTTTGTTCAGTTGTAAAGGGTAGCGTCATTTGCAGAATATTCAACATAAAACTGAAAAAATTCATTACAATGTCAATAGCTGATTTAATTTGCTGTTTGCAAGCTAAATAGTTTTTGCAAAGGTGAAATATAATCAAAGTTTTGGTATTTTCTGCATTTTGACCCAACTGTGGACGTCAGAAACTACTATACTCTTATTTTTAAAATTCTAGCAACAAATTTTTGCAGGGTAACAATAGAAGTGGTCAAACACCGGAAATCGTTACCAGTCCCGCCCCGGCAGATAGTGGAACACCAACCTATGACAATGTTAATGGGACATCGTTAGGCGATCGTGGGGGATCATCCTCTAAATCAGGCAAGTCAAAATCGGATAGCAGTCGATAAAAGTGAACGCTGTGTAAGGAAGCGAGGAAACCTACTGACGGGCCCTGATGCCTCGCTTTTTTGGCCTTCGAGTCCGCGACAASAATATAAAAAATAAAACAAAAAAGCTTTATCTCTGTTTACGATTCATGAAATACTATCACATTGTGTTTCGTGAGAAAYAATTGTGTTTTATGAGAAACAGCGACATCTATTTATCTCATGATATAGGCAGCATATCGTTAGCTATTTCTTCTCTAGCAAAATATTAGGAATGATAACCAGMSGGGAGTTTGGCAAATAATGCTRWGTCAGGCACATTTAACKTGATTAAAAAAATTGTCCCTTGCTTCAGGAACTCCAGTCAGTTCCAGGCGCCCTTCAAGTGGCAATAACAATCTRAACAACATTGACGACGAGCARCTAAGAGAGCGCCGTCGTTCGTCCATCCATTCCTTAGTAGACGATGGCGCAGAACCTCTCAAGCACAAGACAGCAACCGTGGGTATAGTAGGTTTGGCATTAAGAAACAAGAACGAAAGAAAGAAAGAAACAGAATTTAAGGTAAATAAACGAATRAATGTCATTTTGAAATGACATCAAAAGAGAAAATTAGAATGAGAACTAATTGCACTGAAGTGCTTTTTTTCTTTAAGTATAATTGATTTGTCTTTTCAATGATTGCCATAGAATCTTGACAAGGAAATGCCTGCCCTTGGGTCATACCCTGCAAGTACTGCGGGTAARAACAGATTTCCAGAAATATTGCCAAGTAAGTGAGAAACGCAGTACATTTGGTCTTTATAAGGAGTAGTTGTAAATAAATTTATATTCGRTTTATTTGTTTAATCATTAGATCCTCGATCTCGCGTTAAGCTGACGTCCTCACCCGACTACATCAATGCCAGCTATTTACATGTAAGTTAACGATGACCATTGCAAATAATGAAACCAGCATAGTTAGTAATAACAACTGAAACCGCATGTAACAACAGCAGAAATGCCAACAATAACAGCAAAATCCACTTTTAGAAGAAAAAAAAGCAGTGATCCATCAATTGTTGTACTGATTTATCAATGTATTAAAAATATACCAGGGCGAAGGGAGGGAGCTCTCTCTTTGCCCTGCTGAAATGCGTGCACTCATATGTATACGACGCTCATGTACCAATCAGAGTACGCGTAAGAACGAGTCCCTTGGACCAATCAGAGTACGCGTAAGAACGAATCCCTTGGACAAATCAGAGTACGTGTAACAACGAATCTATATTTCTTCAGTTATCCCATTTATCCTCATTCTGTTCGGCCAAGTTTAACGATATGTAAAAACGTTTCAATGAATTCAAAGTAGCGGCCGAGGAGAGTGTTTTCTACATGTGACGTATATAACAACGATACTCATCTTATATATCTACTGTAGGATCACAAGGGACAGCGGCATTACATAGCTACCCAGCATCCCTTGGTGGAGACGAAGGACGATTTCTGGCAGATGGTCTGGGACCAAGACTCGCACCTCATTGTGATGGTGAACGATGATGAAAACAGCAAACAGGTATGGCTTTTCTCATGAAATCAGCCAATCAGTGCGTGTGTTAGAATTGAGCTATAATATAAAAACGGCTTGTGTTTCATGAAGTATTACACTAATGTTTGTATGCATAGATCGATTATCCCAATTACTGGCCRACTGCAGAGGGTAATAGTATGGAACATAACGGTATCGTGGTAACTAATAAACAAACGGTTACTAAGGCTGACTACRTCATCACCACTTTAGTGATAACTAACAACAAGGTGAGCCAATTACCTTCGAGGGCCGGAATGGTGAATTAACAGTGATATCGACTAGATAAATAGTCTTCTTCACGGTTCCCTGCGCCATCTTGAAAGGTACCCGTTCCTTTGCATCGAAGCGAGACAACCGTTGAGCATGCAAAGATAGAAACCTTCTTTCACACCTACAGACAATTATTCAAAGTTCTCTATCATTGTAAGCTCAACGGTTATCTCGCTTCGATGAAAAGGCACGGCTACCTTTCAAGATGGCGGAAGGAACCGTGAAGGAGACTATTCTCATCTACCGTACAAGTATCCTTTTGAATATATGACGTCGCATCCAGAAGTAAAAAGAAAGAAAGGGAGACAGAAAGAAAGAATGATTATGATGGTCGATGTGAGTTCAGACAACAAACGGAGAAATGAAAAAAAAAATATTTAAACTGTGTTCATGCGAACATAGAAGAGAAGAATGACAAGAAGCAAATCAATACAGTCTTGTTTGAAACTATAATTCAGTTGATAAGCGACTTTTCTTAACGCACAGGTAACGTCATCAATCTCTCGCGAGATCATCCACTACAGGTACACGTCGTGGAAGGACAAGGATCAAATGCCTAACGTTGCAATGTTCGTTGGCTTCGTGGTCGCCACGCGAGAGATCGGTAAGAAGTACGAGGACGGAAAGTCTCCTGTCATAGTACACTGCAGGTWAGTATCGGACAGACAGACAAATTGACAAGTAAGCAACCGACTAATGAGACGTCCTAGTGTATACATGACCTTCAAAAATGGCGGTAGTTCACGACCGTCAATATTAGGGGACTAGTGACGAATCATAGAAAYGAGACCTCAAAGGCCTTACATATAAAAACATCACGAAGATCGCACGTATKGCAGTGTCAATGTTTGAAAGATGTATTAGTATGTTATTTATAAGAAAACACTCTTACATTATACTGAGGCTGGCCTTTGAGTCCTTCTTTTTGTTCCTTGTCCCCAGTGCCCTAGACGGCGACCGTGASATATCGCGCCATTTTGAAAGTCTTGAATAATGTTCTTAATTACACTCTTAGTGATGGTCAAGGATTCACTGGTGTCTTCATAGCACTAGACATTGGTATTCGCAGCCACGAGGAGAGTAAGACTTCTGTCGTRGATTTGTTTGAGTTGGCTAAACGACTGCGACAAGGCAGAAGTTGTATTGTTAACTCCTTACAACTGTACAACTTCACTTATCAGGTATGATTGTCCGCAAATGATTGATGTTATGAAGGGCGATTCAAATAGTCCGCCAAATCCTGTTTGAAAAACATAGTTGTGTTAAAATAATATTCCTACCATCAAAATTGAAGCATTGGAGCTAAGTTAAGCTTTTCTTGAAGTGGCACAACTTCACAACTTTGAGATGGACTCAAAATTCGTCCAATGTCCCTCCTTTAGATCTGGTTCTCTAGTTCCATTACTACTATTTTTGTCGTGTACGTTTAATTATGCTACTTTACAATTAGAGCGGATTTCGTATGAGTGGGAAACGGACGGTACTGTACTGTGACCGTAATCGTACTGTAACCAAATTCTAGTGTCCCATTGGTTCACCAAAATTGTGCAGGCCAGGTGCGGTAACTGTGCGGATACCGTGCTGTAACGGTGTCCCACTTATATGAAATCCACTCTAATTGCACTATTTGACACGGTTTTGCACTTTTGAATCAAAGGTAAATCTTGGTTACTATCTCATGTCGAATAACACCACTGTCACATAAGCCCTGGGGGGAGGGGGAGGGGCTGACATAGAAATTATAACAGTTGCAATGGATCAGGGAAATCCAAAGTTCTAATATCGATGATTACTTATTTTTTCGTTCATCTCTTTGTTTTTCCATAGTGCCTGTATGAATACACGGTCAACTACGACGAAGAAGCCGAGGTAGCTATGATTCGACAATTGCCCTAGTTCATTATGACGTCACATCAAAACATTCTATTGTTTTAACGCTAAGGACTATGGTCTCCAGAAGGGACCAGAGTGACTGCATATCAAATATAATGTACATGAACAATCATTAATACATGATATATATCAAAACACGATTCATTGAAGTTCTACTTTAGGAGACAACGTAAATGGGTCCAAATTTCCAGTGTTTTTGAGCATCGTTTTCCGATGTAAACATACTGTGACGTCATAATGAAATAGGTCAATTGTATTGTATTTTTGAGAGCCGCGGCGCTTTCAAAATATCACAACTGCGCGTGGCAAGTATGTAATTTTCCCTCCAAAATTTAAGAGACTTTCATATCACTGTTTGAAACCAGCTCGGTTTTGTGCGTATAAAGAATATACAACCTTTAAATTCCTGAGAATAAGCCACCAAAAGCCTTTGTATAAACAAGCAAATGTGTGTTTCCAATATTGATATTGTGTGACTGCTTTTATTTTGTCTTTCAGAAGAAAAAAGATGCATAACCCTTGAAACAAGTAAACCTTGAGCTTGTCTGTAGTTTTTAAAAAACCTTTTAAATTAGACTTTAAGCTTATAGCGCTGTAATAGAAGGATTCTATATTCCAATCATGTCATTATTCATTTGAAATTGTTAAGGACTAAGTTTATAGCAAGAAAACTATAGCAATATGTATCAAAAATATAGAACGATTTGTAATTTCAGAAAAGTCGATACCAATTGCTGTTTGCAATATAGTCTGATGATAATAAAATCGTGCAGTAAGTTGATTGTTTTAAGTGGATCGGCATTCCATAACTATTGCTTTAAAAAAACCCAACAACATTCAAATAGGATGTGACCAATCATCAGTGCCGTTTTATCTCCAACCTTTTTACTGAAAAAACAACTACGTCATCTCAAGCGCGCGCCTTTTATAAGATGTTCCGCTGTCTGCTTCTATGGTATACTACAAGGAGATAGCGTGGGAAATTCTGATTAGTATGGATTGGAGGACAGGTTTAACTCGCGCGTTCTCCTCAGATTGTCGTCTGATGAATAGATTTTAGGTAACAACAACACTTTTCCCTGTGCAGTGATATTTTAGGAAAACAAAGTATATTTTACAATTATAAGTATATTTCCAGTCATTCTCAAAAGAAGTATGTACTGTTGTTTATAGTCGCCCTTTCCATTCTTATTAATCATGCATACAAGTCAATGTTGTTCATGATACTCATGAATGGAAACCTTTTGGAGAARGAGGGGGGTTGTTCACAAGTATATTGTACGTAGCTATATAGTCGACAACATGATACACACTATGTCATAATGAGCCATTTGGAGCATGGGTAAAAACATTCTGTGAACCGGCCTTAAACGTTGCATGACGTCACTGCTCAAGAAGTAACGATGGTATGTTTGCAATCTCGAACCCAGAGCCCACACTTTTGCCATCCAGCCGAAGACTCTGGCTCGATTGGTATGTATGCGTCAAATCCAAGTCCCAAGGCACCAACAGGTGGTGCACTTGTCATGCGTGCGGTACTTATTGATAATCAACTCCTACTTCATTTCTTCACGCATCTTGATGTTTTTTGTTTTGCCTTAAACACAGTATTAACGATATTCTGGCAGCTCAAATTATCGTGACATATCCAATGTTGACAACAGGCCAGTTTCTGACAACTGTCACCGTTGATGGTGAGTTCTTCCCCGATGACCCAGAATCCCTTTTGAAGGAAGGAAAGGTAAACAAAGCTGACATCATCACTGGTATGACTGCCAATGAAGGTGGCTTTGCGATATATGTATTAATGGATATAGAGTTTACAGCCGATGTGTTTCAAACTGCTGTCAAGATCGATCTGTCTTTGCTTGGAAAGTATTCAAAACGAGTATCTTCAACATAGTGACTTAAACAATTCGGACAAGATGCGTCAAGAAGCCCTAGATGAAAGCACAGAACTCATGTTTCTTNTAGTGAAAGTCTATGATGCGACACTAGAGTCATCACACTTGTACCGTGAAACATAATCAATGAAGTAGTAACTATTAGTTTTTATATACTGACTCATTGTATGAAATGTAGATATCACTGAACCAAAACAATTCTTAAAAACAAAAGGTAATACACAAGAGACTTGGAAGCCAAACAACGTTATTTAGCTAATGAAGAAGGAGGAATTTGTTAAAATATGTCCCACCCACAAGTAAAGAAATAAAGAGCTGCTGGTTTAGTTCTTTGTTAAACCCAGAGGAAAGATGTCGGGAAGGGCTAGAACTTGTGTTAAATATATTAGGCTTCATGGAAATCAAGTTCATTGAAAGGACATAAAAAGAATTGCCCTATTATTGATTATAGGGTGAAAGTGAAATAGATAGCTATAGTAACTAACTTTATAACTGTTACGAGTGCTGCTGGAAATAATGATCTGGTAACTATTGTCCCATGCTAGAAAGGTACGTATCTCACAAACATTTCCGAAATGATTAATAAAATTCCTTGTGTTTTATTTTGAGCTTCAAGCAAAGGATAAGTTTAAAACGTCGCCGCTGGTTGTTGTCAARTCGCTTWWTTATATTGACTAGTCAAATAACTCAGCTTTGAGCGATAGAATTCGTTCGAAACCATGTTGTTTATAGATTTTTGCGGGTCATTTCAGTGTGTCTTGTCTTGATTTTTAGTTTAGGCTCTTATGATAAACTCGTTAGAAAACGCGTTCATTGCGTACTGGGTTTGCTATTGCTACAGTATTTTCAATTTAGCCTTACAATGTCTTCTGTCATAATTTTGCTGCGGCGCAGACAATAAAGACTCCAAACGCGTTTTATTGCGTCTTTTGTGGTTAYTTTAGCTTTASATGTGTCTTGTGTCTTGATTCCAYAGCAGCGCAAATAAATAAAGATTCTTGAAACGCGTTTCCTTGCGTACTGTGTGGTTATTTTAGCTTTAGATGTGTCTTTTGTCTTGATTGTACATAAAATAAAGATGGCAGTTGTCAAGTCTCTTGTGTATTGCCTTTAGTTTTCATGAACTGTGTTCTGGTTCAGTAATATCTTCTATTAGTCAATAAATAGACACTAATATTTACTGTTTATTTTGATCATATTTCACGGTACAAGTGTGATGACTCTAAAACTGAGACCTTTGCTAGTGTTGTGTTGTCTCAATGGTGACGACCGTGTTGTAAATCTGATACAACCACTAGTGGTTGTATCAGATTTACAAGGTCAATCACCTGATTAAATGGTCAGCCCTTATTGGAGCAATAGCTTATGCATTATTAATAAGTTTTATAAGTAATGTTTACAACATGAGCGGCCGTGTTGTATGGGAAATTACAATCTCGAGCCGCAGGCGAGAGATTGTAATTCCCATACAACACGGACGCGAATGTTGTAAACGACTTATAAAACTCCAACACAAATTAACATGAATTACAGTGAGATAAATGACAAAAAATGGCAATTAAGGAAACTGCTGAGTTGAGTCGCTATTAAGCATGCGCAATTTTCTGCAACACAGAACATTTTGAATAATTATCCATCCCACATGGAAAGCAAGCCATCTGTTGCATAAGCCAGTTCTGTTATCCGTCTTTGATTGCTTCAAAACCTAGTGAAGGTCTATGATGCGGTACTAAAACTAAGACCTTTGCTAGTGTTGGGTTGTCTCAAGGTGACGACCGTGTTGTAAATCTTATACAACACTAGTGTTGTATCACAGTGTTGTATCTGATTTACAAGTTCAATCACCTGATGAAATGGACAACCCTTATTGGAGTAATAGCTCATGCATTATTAATAAGTTTTATAATGTAAATTACAATTAACTACTATAACTTTCTTTCATTTCTATATCGTGTTTATCATAGTGCCATGCGGTCTTCATATTCATATCTTAGCATTAATTTAAATGGTTTTGTACTATGAATCGAAAATGCTTCTCTTCGTTTTTCCATAGTGCCTGTATGAATATACGGTCAACTACGACGAAGAAGCCGAGGTAACTATGATTAGACAACTGTATTTTTTTTGGAGACCCGCATGCGTTTTCAAAACATCGCAGCTGCGCAGCGTGGAAAATATAAGCAACTTTCGTAACACAGTCCAAAAATACTTCATCGGTTTCGAGTACATTTTCCCTTAATAGCTTTTCACCTGTGTACTTTGAATTCCTGAGAATACTGGATCCGCCCAAAGCCTGTCCTAGTGCATACAAAAGCAAATGTGTTTCCAATAATCTTATATTGTTACTGCTTTTATTTTGTTGCCTTTCAGAAAAAGAAAGATGCATAGCACTATTAAAACAAGTAAACATTGAGCTTGTCTGTGGTTTTTAAAAAAACCTTTTGAAATAGACTACAAGCTTTATAGCCCTGTAATACATGTAGAAGGATAAAACGATATTTCAGCAATATGTTATTATTCATTTAAAATTGTTAAGGACTAAGTTTCTAGCAAGAAAACTATAGCAATATATATCAAAAAATATTGTCTTATGAAAGAACGATTTGTAATTTCAGAAAAGTCGATACCAATTGCTGTTTGCGATATAGTTTGATGATAATAAAATCGTGCAGTTAGTTTAAACGATCGGCATTCCATACCTATTGCTTTGTATAAAAAAAAACATTCAAATAAGATGTGACCAATCATCAGTGCCGTTTTTATCTCCAACCTTTTTACTGAAAAAACAACTACGTCATCTCAAGCGCGCGCCTTTTATAAGATGTTCCGCCGTCTACTTCTATGGTATACTACAAGGAGATAGCAATGGAAATTCTCAGATTAGTATGGATTGGAGGACAGGTTTAACTCGCGCGTTCTCCTCAGATTGTCGTCTGATGAATATATTTTAGGTAACAACAACCCTTTTCCCTGTGCAGTGATATTTTCGTAAAACAAAGTATTTTTTACAATTATAAGTATATTTTCAGTCATTCTCAAAAGAAGTATGTACTGTTGTTTACAGTTTCCCTTTCCATTCTAATTAATCATGCATACAAGTCAATGTTGTTCAAGATACTCATGAATGGAAACCTTTTGGAGAAAGAGGGGGGTTGTTCACAAGTATATTGTACGTAGCTATATAGTCGACAACATGATACACACTATGTCATAATGAGCCATTTGGAGCATGGGTAAAAACATTCTGTGAACCGGCCTTAAACGTTGCATGACGTCACTGCTCAAGAAGTAACGATCAGTGGTATGTTTGCAATCTCGAACCCAGAGCCCACACTTTTGCCATCCAGCCGAAGACTCTGGGCTCGATTGGTATGTATGCGTCAAATCCAAGTCCCAAGGYACCAACAGGTGGTGCACTTGTCATGCGTGCGGTACTTATTGATAATCAACTCCTACTTCATTTCTTCACGCATCTTGATGTTTTTTGTTTTGCCTTAAACACAGTATTAACGATATTCTGGCAGCTCAAATTATTGTGGCATATCCAATGTTGACAACAGGCCAGTTTCTGACAAGTGTCACCGTTGATGGTGAGTTCCTCCCCGATGACCCAGAATCCCTCCTGAAGGAAGGAAAGGTAAACAAAGCTGACATCATATCACTGGTGTGACCGTGAATGAAGGTGGCTTTGCGATATATGTATTAATGGATAAAGAGTTACAGCCGATGTGTTTCAAACTGCTGTCAAGATCGATCTGTCTTTGTTTGGAATGTATTCAAAACGTGTTGAAGAAGCTGTTCTTTTCGAGTATCTTCAACATAGTGACTTAAACAATTCGGACGAGATGCGACAAGCGGCCATAGATGAAAGCACAGACCTCATGTTTTCTTGCACCTGCGGTCGCAGAGGCGAAATTATTTGCCAAAACGAGCAACCACGTTTATTTGTATGTGTGTGATCACAGTGCTCATCAACCAAAACCTTCTGAGGAATAGCTAGGTGCACATCACCATTCTCTCGAGGATGATATCAGTTTTCTTCTTCCTGGCAATTACTCAGCTCTTGAGCAAGGACTGTCGAAATATGTCATGGAAATGTGGGCAAAYTTTGCAAAATATGGGTAAGTTGTAGTCTTGTGCAAAAACCGTAAAAGGATAAACTTCCACTTCATAGTTCATATCAGGAGAAATGAGGCCCAAACCTATAAAAGAACAAAAAGATGGAGGGGGTTAGGTGTGCCACTATTTCCTTTCCCTTGTGGGTTCCTTTATCCAACGCCAAAAGTCTCCTATGTCTAGAGTCTTTACAAATACTTCGGTACAACGTTGTTCATGTACCTAAATTGACGACAAATTTCTGCCCCACAGGGAGGAGATTAAAAATTTGTACACTTCAAAGCTATCCCATTCTTAATTTGCTACGACTGCAAAATATAAATTCTATTTATATAGATTTTCTCGATTATCTTTCAGAGATCCAAACGGTGTTGGTGCTGTGTCAGTAAAGTGGCCAGCGTACAATAACACTGGCCGTGCGCACTTAAGCATCTCAACAGACCCTAAAGTGAAATACAGTTTACGAGCAAGGAAGGTTACATTTTGGAACGAGTTTATGCCCAAGCTCAAAAGAAGGAAAAGCGAGACTGGATTCCACTTAAGCGAAAGAAAGCACCAAAAGCCGCATAAAGAGGGACTCTGATAATTTCCTCTATTATTTAATATTTTAGTTGCGCATACAGCCTAGAAAATAGACGTTTTACTTTAAAGTAAACATGTTAAACATGATATTTAGTGTGAATGAATCTAAACGAATGTGTTCTCTTATCATATTCTTCTTACTAATTTAAACAAATTCAACATAGAAGTTCTTATACTAGTATAGTGTAATGTCTTATTATTATTATTTTCTTCTCTACTCTTCCCTTCTTTTTTAGTGACATAGATATCTGAAATTGTTGCTCTATTCTTCTTCTTCTTCTTCTTTTCTTCTTCTCTCTTTTTGAGCGACATAG